CGCTGCCTGCCGGTCCGACATCTGCAGCCCACGTCGGGAGCGTCTGCGCCTCCAGCAGCTATCGGCTCCGGAAACAGCCGAAATCGGGCGAGCGCGGCAGCAGTGAGCCGAAGAGCCGAACGAAGCCCCGGCCGGAAGCAACCGCGCCGCGGCGACAGCTGGAAGAACGTACTGGCTCCCGGCGGCCGCAGGAGTTCTGGCCCGCGGAAGCATGCAGCGGGGATGCGGAGAGAGTTACTGCATGCTTTGGTGGCCAACCTTTAAAGTCAGTTTGGAAGAATCAACAAAACCTGGAGAAGATTCAAGAAGACACTACCGGAAAATGTGGTATCCATAGAGACGCTGTCGGAAGTTAGTGTTGCTGAGGAGGCCTGGGTGCGTCGGCTAAACTGCGTAATGTCTGAAGTCCCAGAGAGAGATTACTATTCTGACCCAGATGAAAATGAGAAGCCAGAGCCTAAGATACCAGAAATGCCGGAACTTCGTAAATTGTCCGAAGATGCCGAACCATACACCATCACAGAGGCAGGCGCGAAGCTACCCTCAGAGACCGAACAAGAGCCACAGACACTGGAGACTGAGGAAGAGGACTTTAAAGAAGAGGAGCCAAAGAATGAAAAGAAAGTACAGCCGGAACCGAACTGGACACCTAAGGAAGAAATTCCCAAGGAAACCCAAATAGATCTATTTATTCAAGCCGAGCCAGGGATCACCCAAGTATTGAAGTCAGAGACATTGGGAGAAATGGGAGGCAAGCTTCACAAGGATTTGAAGGTCCCTGTAGATGAAAAGGGTAAGGAACCAGTCCTAGAGCCACCAGAGGAGGCTAATCCAGGTATCACGGAATGGGCTACGGAAACAGATGTACAGCTACCCGGGGAAACCAAATCTAAGGTTCCAGGGGCCACAACCAGTGAGACAAGATTAGAGTTACAAGGGGAGACTGAAGAGGAGGTTCCAGAGGAATCACTTAGAGAGGAATATGAAGAAACAGACCTAGAGCCTCCAGAGCAGACCAAACCAGATTTTTCAAGTGAGAAATCAAGAAAATCAATTGAAGAGGTAGATCTTCGGTTACCAAAGACGACCAAACCAGAGATTCCAGAGGAAACACAGAATGAGTCAACCGAAGAGAAAAAGACAAAGACAAAAAGACCTGAGCAGACTAAACTAGAGTTTCCAGCCCAGAAACCAAAAATACCTACTGAAAAAACAGACCTACAGCTTCCAGAAGAGACTAAACCAGAGGTTTCAGAGGAGATAGAAAGAAAGCCATCTGCACAGACTAAACCAGAGTTTCCAGACCAGAAAACCAAAAAGTCAACTAAGGAGAAAGTTCCAGAGCCACTGGAATCAGAGTATCCTGAGGAAGAATCAATAAAACCAATTGTCCAAATAAATCTAGAACCATCAGAGAACACTACATCAGAAGTTCCAAAGGAGACAAAAAGAAGGTCAGATGAAGAAAAGATTCCTGGGACACCAGAAGAGACTGGTTTAGTAAAACTACAGGAAATCAAACCAGATGTTGAGACACAAAGAGAGTCAACTGAGGAGAAAGTTCTAGAGCCACTAGAGGATACTAAATCAACAGATAAAAAAGAGAAGCAAAGAAAATCAAATGAGAAGATAGGAGTGGCAGTGCCAGAGAAGTTCAAATCAGAGGAAACACTGAGAAACTCAGCTGAGGAGAAAGGCCTAGAGCCACCAGGACAGACTAAATTGGAGTTTCCAAAGATGGAACCAAGAAAACTAACTGAGGAAACAGGTCAAGTGCCACCATGGATGACTAAACCAGTTCAAGAGAAGAGAAAAACCGAGTCAACGGAGGAAAAAAATCTGGAGTTACCAGATGAAGCCAAAGCAAGAGAAACACATATAGAATTTTCTGAAGAAAACAGGCCAGAGTCAGTAAAAGAAACCGACAAAATTAGTAACAACTCTGCATTAGGTTCTCACAGAGGAAGTAAAATAGACTTAGTTAGTAGTGTACATTATGAGAATTCTCAAGAAGTCTTAAAACTGTTTCAGCTTGATGATTTCAATGAACTCTCAAACTCACATTTCTCAGAGTCTCAAATGGAATTAAAAGAGTCCTTTAATGAGAAGGAAATTGTAGATTTGTCCCAAGAGTTGGAGGAATTGGTATCTAAAGATGAAGAATCCAGGCCCCCAAAAAGGATAGAGCCACAGTTTGAATTTCTTAAGTGGAACCCAGAGGAGGTTGCAGAGTGGATTAGCCAGCTAGGCTTCCCTCAATACAAGGTATACAAAAATTATTTTTGAAATCCTATGCTCTCAACCTTCTTCATATTTCCTCTACCCTGACCGACCCTTTGCTTCTTTCTCACTGGAAGTTTAGCAAAGTCCTAGACTCTGGAAGAGTAACTTCAATTTGAAGAAGGGTTCTGGGAATCAAACCTAGGGCCTTGCACATGTTAAGCATACACCCTACCACTGAGCTACACCCCTAACCTGTAACTGGATATTAGTTTTGGCCTTGCCACTAATAGATATTTGTATTTGGGGAGAAAGAATCACATATGTTTGTTTTTCCTATTAATCCCAGTGATTACACTTCTCTGCAATCCTTTAAGAAAGGCCTAGAAATTTGTATAAGCCTCTTTTCACAGAAAACTGTACTTTAAAATAGATTTTACCCACCAAAGACTTTATGGTACTTTGTCAAATTGTTTTAGTGGCAACTTGCTTACCTTAAATTTCTGCTATTAATGTTAGGTGCTCAAAGCAGTTAAGAGGTTTAATGTAACTTGGCCAATGAACTCAAAATAATTTTATAAAGAAGGTAGTGTGATTCTCTTATATGGCTGATGCCAATTGTGATTTTAGGCTACTACAAAACAAGATCTAAAAACTTCTGTACCTCCTATACTAAAAATGTAATTGGATGAGACATGAAGCAGAGCTGAGGATATAGCCTGGTGGTAGAGCACTGACCTAGCATGTGCAAAGTCCTGAGTTCAATCTCCTATACTGAAAACAAACACTGAAGCATTGTAGCATGCAGAAAAAAATTTATGAAATTTAATCGAGCTTTAAAAAATATGTAGTGTTTTTAGGATACAAAGTAAGTGTTTTCTCAGTGTAGAGCTGGAAAGCATGATTTGTTTCCATCCTTCCTCTTTTCCTTCTTTGTCTTTTCCATTCTTCTAATTTCAGTACATTTTAAAGTGATGTTTTTGTGCTCACAGGAATGTTTTACTGCAAACTTCATCGGTGGCAATAAACTCATCCATGTAAACTGCTCAAACCTTCCTCAAATGGGGATAACAGATTTTGAGCACATGAAGGTGAGTTATGTACCAATTTTCCCTATGGAACACTAATAATGTTCTATCTGTCTGAGACCTATTTATTTTTCTTCCAGTCCTATTGTCTGTGATGTCATTGTAATTTGAAATCCCCCAGGGTCCCAGTGGTTGCTCTGTCTCCTTTAATCTATACAAAGATTCCAACAACAGTCAGTTCCTCTTATGGCACTTACGCTGTTTTTCTCCATTCCCACTTTTTAGACTTATTGCACCATTCCTAGAACACTGCAGTAGCTCTCTGTATTTAGCCTCACCATGGGCCCTTGCTCTGCTTTTAGTCCCTCACTTTCCAATTGCTAAAATACTACTCAAACACGTTTGTGTCCCTTCTTCTTACAAGATTGCCCCAACTCCTTAGATAAAGGTTCAGTGTCCTCCACAAGATTTTTCTAGCTACCATCCTCTCCCATTCTCAATATGAATCTTCTGCTCCGGCATACTAAGTCTAACTCACAGTATTGAAAACTGGTCTCTGTGTCAATTCCTCTTGTATTACTGATAGGAATTTTAATGATCCTTGCAGACCAATTCCTTATTCTCATTTTCCCGAAGTCTCTCCTGACCATGCCATCCCACAGTAACCTTTCTTTCCACTCTCTCATAACTTTTTATTTCTACGATATCCATTTAGCACTTACGTTATAACACCATATATATATATATATATAGCGTTGTTTGCTGCCTGACTTCTAAACAGGTTACCTTAACCTCTGTGGGTCTTACCTCACCAGCACTAGCAGTCCAAGATCCCTCCCTTTGCTTAATGGTAACTGCCATTGGTAGTGTTTTGCAGTTTACAGAGCATCACATATATATTCAAATTTGTAACCCTTCCTCTAGCACTTTTATCCCAACATGATAAGGTTCACTCAGTATACCTATGTCCATGGATGCATTATCTAATTGGTTCCCAAATGTGGATAATAGTCTTTAGAATCAGATGAGAGTTTTGTTTTGTTTTTAAAGTAGATTCCCAAGCCTGCCCTCCAGAGTTTTTAGTTCATTAGGCCTAGGGTAGGCCCTGGAATCTGTTCACTGAAACTCTTCAGCAGGCCTTTGAGCTATGTAATGACACACATAATTAGGTTTGAAAAATAAGAAAAACTATACTTGTTAATATTTAAGTCCTTTTACTGGCAATGAGATTTAAGGAATTTCTTAAAATTATTAAACACAGAGTCCTAACTGAACATTTCCTCTCTTGAATTCTGCTAATAGTTATTCTTTGCTAAGTGCTTATTTTATGTGTGACACAATACATATGTCATCTCACCCAATCTTTATTTATTTATTGGTACTGGGGATTGAACTTGGGTCCTTCTGCCTTCGAGGCAGGAGCCCGAAACACTAAGATAAATCCCCGGCTATAAAAGATAATTTAGATAAGAGCCAGGGAAGCCAGTCTATTCTTTTTTGTTTTTTGTTTTTTTGAGACAGGGTCTCACTATGTAGTTCAGACTGCTCTGGAACTCACTGTGTAGCCCAGGCTAGTCTCGAACTCACAGCAATCCTCCTGCATCAGCCTCCCGAGTGCTCGAATTACAGGCATGAGCCACCACGCCCTGCTGAAGCCAGTCTATTCTATGTGACTTCCCAATCCATGTTCTATTTAACTCACTGCACTATTTAGCCTTTCTAAATCAATATTTTTATAGCCACAAATGTCTCTATGCATAATGTAGGAAGGGCCACTCATTAAATATGGTATTTCCAACCATGCCCTCACATAGTTATAAATAGCTCATTCTTTTTATGTTCAAATCTGTATTTATGAGTTCTAATTTCTACTTAAGAGTATACTGAATTTTCTAAATAAAGTAAGACACAGAATTAACAAAATACTTGTAATCCAAATTCCTGGCTTAAGCCCTGAGAATTTCAGTTCTTAATTTTAAGAAAAGATTTTTTGAGAGTCTGCCAGTTAATTTTGCTCCCTTGACATTCTAATTCCAAAAATATAATATCAATATACAATAATAAAAATTTTAATTATGCTTTTTCTGGCCTTACAAGAAATAAGAAGTCTTGGAAATCCTCTGAAATCCTCCAGAGTTAATGATAAATGTACTACTCTATTCTTATATCCCAAGAACTTTAAATAAGCAAACTTTATGATACTCATTATCAAAGTCATAGATAAATATGGCCTCTCTTTGAAATCACTAAATCAAGACTTAGGGTATGTTACATAAGCATTACTTGACACTTAGGTCCATATTAAAAAATGTAGTTACACTCTAAGACATAGGTATCTTTCTAGAAATCATAAATGTACTTAAGTATGCTGTAGTTATCTTCTTTATTGATATAGGAAGCATTCTGTTTGTTTTTATTTTTTCTTTTTGCATTGCTAGGGATCCAAATTTAAGACATGTGGCACGCTAAGCTCTACAACTGAGCTACATACCTAGCCTATATATGACATATTTTTATCCCACTGTTACAATTACAACAACTAATACATCCAAAGTTTACCCCACACCAACACTTAAATAAGTCAATCTTATTTATTTTAGGGACAAACTAGGTAAAAGAACATTACACTTGCTTTGTCTTTCTCTCTTAGAAAATAATTCTGAAAATATCTGCTACTTTCTATATCAAGTAAGCAAAAGAATTCTGTGGTAAATATTTGGAGAATATAGATGAGTTGTTTATTCATTTTCTCTGCATGATTTTATAGTCTAAAGTATAGCCTTACAAACTTTACAGTATCTCAGCAATTTTGCTACCCTTGCCTTATTTCAATTTAAGTAACACAAATTTATAACATGGCAGCAATTGAGACAGACCTTTTTAATTTAAAAAAAAATCTTGTAAATAATTTGTTTTACAGAAGAGTTGCAAAGACAGTGCAGTGAGTTTCTGTATACTCAGCCTAGATTCTCCTAATGTTAAAATTTTACATAATTATGGTATATTCATTAAAACTAAGAAATTACCTTTGATCTAATATTGTATTTATTAAATGATGAACTTTATTCAGATTCTGTATTGTCTCCACTGATGATAATCTTTTGTTCCAGGATGTAATCTGGGATACTATACTGCACTTAACTCATGTTTCTTTGGTCTCTTGTAGTGTGTGATGGTTTCTCAATCTTTTTGTTTTGCATGATCTTGACACTTTTGAAGCTGAGTGAACAAGTATTTTTATAAATTTCCTTCAGTTTTAGTTGTTCTGATCTTTCTGATGATTAAGGTTATGAGTTTGGGAGGAGACTATAGAGTTGATAAACCCTTCTCACCTCATATTGGGACATTATACTTATATGGTTCATTACTGGGAACATTAGCCTGATCATTTGGTTCAGGGATATTTGCCAGATTTCCTCACCATATGTTTGGTGTTTTGAGATGAGGTCTTGCTAAGTTGCCTAGGCTGGCTTTGACATTCTAATCCTCCCATCGCTGCCTCCTGAGTAGCTGCTGGGGCTACAGGTATGTGCTAGCTTCCTTTCTATAAAGTTGCTGTGGTATTCTTTTGTGTTTTGCTCTTTAGAAGTGAGTAAATAAGTCTAGGCCACATTTAAGAGGGATATTAAACTCCATTTCCTGGCAAAAAATATCAGAGTTGAGACATACAGTAAAATTACTACAGTGATAAATATATTGGGGAAGTTAAATTTGAAAATGCAAACATCCTGTTTCTTAGAATTTTGGCCACTAATTTTAGCATGCATCATGTGGTCTTGCCTGCTCAGTTACTGCTGTGTTTTAATGATTATTTTCTATATCCTTCATTCTTTCGATGTTTAACTGGAACTCTTCTATAAGGAACACTTTTACACTTAATTGTCCCTTTTCCCTTATTTTTAATCTACCTAGGCATTTATGTTAATATGAATGTATGGACATTTATTCTTTGGACTATATCATAGTGTTGTTGTTGCTGATTTGCTCAAATTACAGTATTGCATCTTTGACAGTTGCAAGCTCTTTAAATTGATTCCTAGCTGGACATGGTGACACACCTGTAATCTCAGCATTTGGGAGGCTGAGACAGGAGAATCGCCACAAGTTCAAGGCCAGCCTGGGCTACATAGTAAGTTCAAGGCTAGCCTGGTCTATATAGTAAGACCCTGTCTCAAAAAAACAAAAAAATTAAGAAACAAACAAACAAAAAAACTGTTTTCTATGTCCTTTTGACATGCCCCATTTTTTAAAAAAGCATTTCTTTACTTTCTGACATTGCAAGTAGCTTCAGGCTTATATTGTATTTCCTTGCTGCAGTCCCAGAATCAACCATGTGTCCAGAGAGTACTGGTTGATTTTTACAGAGAATAGAATTCAGAAACCAAGATGTAGGCACTAGTTGCATTTGTTGCTGGTCTAGGCACTCTCACCCTATGTGCTGTCAGCAGAGGATTTAAGAAATATATGTTATATACTCACCCATGTGTACACGATTATCTATTTATTTCTGTCTGTCTGTATATACTTATATGAAAATAATCATGAGTTCATATTCATTTCCCTGACTGTAGCCCAGCCTCGCAGGGTACATTCTAACTTTCTCATCTCTCCTTCCTCTAAACTCCCATGCTTATTTATACCTTCTTTTTCTGAGGGTGAGAAACCTGGCTCTCTTATCTATAAATTCTTTTGAGAAACAAATACAGTACAATGTTTATGTACAATTCTTTTTGTCTTTAGTTTCACAGTATCTAGAGAAAGTACTGTTTTCCAAAGTTAACAGTTATTTAGGTTAGCTTTCTTTTCTTCCCTCTTTAGGGAGATTATGTCCTACTTTGTAATAAGTTAGATTCATTTACCCACAGCCTATATTCCATCCTGGATCCCGCAACACCCTGGATTTCTAATGGTTTTCATATAGTAATTCTTTGTCATGTACAGTTCAATGGGTTTTAACAAATGCTTGGGTCATATATCCACCACAGAACAATTCTATCACCCTAAAACTTTTCCCTGTATCTCCTTATTAACCAGCCTATCCCTCCACATTAATCTTGGTAACTACTGATCTATTTGTCCCTATTATTTTGCCTTTTCTAAAATGTCACATAAGAGCTAGGTATAGTGGTGCTTGCCTGTAATCCCAGCACTTTGGAGGCTGAGGCAGGAGGACTGCTACAAGTTCAGGGCCAGCCTGGACTACATAATGAGTTCAAGGCCAGCCTGAATTATGCAGACCCTGTCTCAAAAAACCAAAATAATTAACTAATTAATTAATTAAAACTAAAAATAAAATGTCACAAAAATAGAATAAAATAAAATATAGCTATTGGATACAGCTTTTCCCTGAGCAGAATGCATTTAAGATTAATCTGTGTTTTTACAGGAATCACAAAGCAAACTTAAAGAAAGTTATATATCTGGATTTTTTTTTTTTTTTTTTTTTTTTTTTTTTTTTTTTTTTTTTTTTTTTGGTACCAGGGATCAAACTCGGGTCCTTGTGCTTGCAAGGCAGGCGCTGTACCACTGAACTAAATCCCTGGCCCATATCTGGATTTCAATGATGGTATAAATGACTTATATCTGAGCCACAGTAATTATGTCTTTAGGTTTAAAGTAAGTTATAGGTTCTAATTATGCAAATGTGCATAGTTACTATCCAAAGTCACTGAACTGTTCACAGTAAATCAGTAATAATGAAGCAAAACAAGTAGTTGACAAATAAAATTAAGAATCATGGCCTTTGGAGGCCGGTGTGGTGGTGCACACCTATAATCCCAGCACTAGGAGGCAGAGGCAGGAGGATCGCTGTGAGTTCGAGACCAGCCTGGACTACATAGTGAGTTCCAGATTAGTCTCAACTACATAGTGACACCCTGTCTCAAAAAAAAAAAAGAATCATGGCCTTTGGAAGCCTGATCAATACAAGGTACAATGATAATATGGTTGTTAAAGAAACTACAGGCATTACAGATTATCTTCTTGAGGCCATTTGAAACAAGTGCTCTTCAATGGTTCCAAGCATTGTATGTGCCGCTATCCTAGAACAGGAAATTAAGAACCCTTAGGACACTCTAGTAATCTTCAAAAGTACCCATTCCTATTAATCTTTATTAGTTCAAGTAAATAGTTGCTCTAAGTCTTATGCAAAAATAAATATTGCCTGTTATTTGTTTCTCAGAACTAAAGAGAATATTTGTTGTTTTAAGTCAATATATGGTCTGTCAGAGCACTCCATTATCTGTTGAAGTACCTCAGACATAGTTTAAGAATCACTTTATTAGGGCCAGGGATTTAGCTCAGTGGTTCTGCCACCTGCTTTGTAAGCACAAGGACCTGAGTTCAATCCCTGGTACCAAAAAAAGAAAAAGAAAAAAGAATCACTTAATTAGAGGAGGGTTAGATTGTATTTCTCGATTTCCAGGGTGACATTTCTACACTTTACAGCATTGTTAATTTCTGCATTATCATATATTACTAGAGTACTGGACTCTTTCAGCTCACAGTGGGCACATAGCTATTTTGGTTAATACAGATTGAGTGTCCCTTATCCAAAATGCTAGGGACAAGAAGTTTCAAATTTCATATTTACTTGAATTTTAAATACCTGCGTATACACAATGAATATCTCAGGGACCCACATTGAAACACTAAATTCATTTTTGCTTCATATACACCTTATACATTTAGCCTGAAGGTAATTTTGTACAGTATTTGTGGTAAACTTCCATTTTGACTGCAGCCCAACATGTGAGGTCACGTATGAAATTTCCCATTTGTGGCATCATGTTGGCATTCATAGAGTTTTGGATTTGGGAACATTTAACCTTTTTTGGATTAGGAGCACTCAGCCTGTATGAACATACAGACAATGTCCTGGGGACATTGTCTGTAAGCCTTAGGGAACTTGTGAGAGTCCAAAGAGGATCAGGGTGAGGCGCTGACCAAACAAGGTGCTCAATGTGGCATCAGTACTTATTGGAATCTCAATTCTTAGAAACCTCTTGCTATGGACTTCAATTAGAATTCTCACTGGGAGTGTGACGTGACTTTGGAGACTGTCTTTTACCCACGAATCATCTGTGGAGGCTACACAAAACCAGGCTGCATAAGATTTAAGAAGAAAAGTCTAAACTGCATTGCTAATCAGTAGTTTACATCAAATTTAGAGTTGCCTATGGCATGAATTTTAGTCTTGTAACATTGACCAGTAGCTTTAAATTTATTTTATTTTATTGAGAGAGGGTCTTGCTGTCTAGTTCAAACTGGCCTTGAACTTACTATGTATCCCAGGCTGGCCTTGAACTTGGGCAATCCTCCTGCCTCAGCCTCCATAATCCTGGGATTACAAGCCTGTGCCACCATGCCTAGTCTAGTAGCTTTACATTTTTTTAAAAAATCCATACATATATCCCTCTGGTAGTGTTCTGGCAGCAATTTTATTGACTTTTTTTTTTTTTTTTTTTTTTTTTATACAACAGGATTTTGGATGCAATTTTTTTTTTTTTTTTTTTTTTTTTTTTTTTGATACAGGGATCAAACTCAGAACCTTGCACTTGTGAGGCAAGCAGCGGAACCATTGAGTTAAATCCCCGGCCCTTGACTATTTTTCTTATCCAGATCCAGAATATGAATTCAAATAGCAGTGTTATAGCTGACCTATGACTGAAACTAGGATTTAAAAAGAATTTTTAAAAATCTAGGCATCATGCTCAGTGAATACAAATCATGTTTAGAGACTGAAAACTATAGTAATAGATATTTTAAAAGAATATACATGGACTGGGGATTTAGCTCAGTGGTTCCACCTCCTGCCTCACAAGCACAAGGACCCGAGTTTGATCCTCGGTACCAAAAAAAAAAAAAAAAAAAAAAAGAATATACAAATATATTTATTCATAAAACAGTTGATATCTACACTTTAGTATTTGAGATCTACTTTTTAGTCAAGCAAATTTGGAAACTATTTGAGGAATTACTTTTTTCTTTAGTTGCAAATTAACTGAGCCTCTCTATAAACAACTTATTTATTATTTTCTTAAGAGATGGTCTTACTATTTTGCTGGTGCTGGCCTCCAATTCCAGGCTTAAGTGTTCTGCCTTAGCCTCCTGAGTAGCTAGGATTACCACATATATCACTGTGCTTGATTAAACATATTATCTGCTTTTATAGATGGCCATATTGTTTATTTAAAAGAAAGAAATTAGGGGCCAGCCAGGGATTTGGCTTAGTGGTTCTGCTGCCTGCCTCGCAAGCACAAGGGCCTGAGTTCAATCCCTGGTACCAAAAAAAAAGGAAAGAAATTAACCCATCTCAGGCTATCTAATACAGGGGGCTGTAGACATCTTTACATGCTACTGTAGAAGAGATAATAAAATTATGTGACATTTCTCTTAAGAGCTTAGTTTTTGGTAAGGCCAGGCTAATAAGTCCATGATGTTGTTTCATTTTTTTCCCATTGAAATACTTTAAAGGGTTACCATTCAAGAGGCCTAGGAAACTAATTAAAATTTTGATTTTGTTGTATTTATACATTGGTCCCATTAAAAATATCATTGTATTTCAGGCAATTTCTCGGCATACAAGGGAGCTACTGGGAATCGAAGAGCCATTATTCAGGCGCACCATCAGACTTCCCTACAGGGACAATATTGGTTTATTTCTAGAACAAAAAAGTCATACTGGGGTAAAATCTGACTCCTTGACCTTTTCTGAATTTGTCAAAGCAGCAGGATTACAGGACTATGAACCCTAAATAATCCCCTGAACAGAAAGAGGCATTACGCTGCACTCTGGAGAAAAAGCCATGTCACTTACCTTGAAAGAGCAAACTAAATTACTTTGGGAAAGAGGTGTGGTCTCTTTGAAGTTTTCATTTTTTTTTTTCTTTTCAATAAGGATCAGAGGCTGGGCATGGTGGCTCATGCCTATAATCTCAACACTCAGATTTCTGAGGCAGGAGGATCTCAAGTTCAAGGCCAGCCTGGCTATATAATGAGTTCAAGACCAGTTGAACTACATTGTGAGACCGTCTCAAACAAACAAAAAATGATCCGAGAACTGCTGGCTCCATTTCTAGTTCTTCCTTTGCTCATAGCATCTTCCCTTTATTTGTTTTTCAGTTTAGCCCCTTGTTAAAATAAAGAGCAATTCTTTCATGATGTGTAGAAAAGCATGACACACATGGTACAGACTCAATCACAAAATGGCACATCGTATATGTACACACAGGACCTTGAAGAACACATCCAGCTAAGCTGCTAATGATTGCAAATGACTATGTTCTTTGCTTCTTGTGTTTTTGTTTCCTATAATACATATGTGAACTTTAAAAAAATAAAAAAATTATTTTTAAAATTAAAATAATAAAGAGCAATTCTTTTCTTTCTGGGTAACTGTAAGAATTATTGATAAATTCTAGTAATACCTTTGGTGGTAAGAACATGGGAAAATATAATTAAAAATAAAATCACCTGCCAGTCCAAATAACACTTTCCACAAATGTAGAAAAGAAGTCTTATTATTGAATAAGCATTAAACTGTGATGCATGCAGCAGACAAGCTACTAAATAGATTTCAAAGACAAAGAAAGCTCACTTTTTAAAACAGCCATGTACATATTATCCTTTATATGCATATGAATTATTGGTACCCAATGGAAAAATAAAACCTCACATATCGTGTTGACAAACGAAGTTACTACTTGGAGCAAGTCCCTAGGCTAACCTCCCAGAGAGGCTGGCAGACAGAGAGCCATTTGCTTCACTGCCCACCTGTCAAAGTGTTCTATCCAAGGCCCCAAAAGACTGTCCTTGGTATTAAACAGCCAAGGGGTTTAGTCAGCTTTTTAAAAGATAGATATCTTCAAAACATGTATAGGATTTTCAATTATGTCTTCCAAAGAAAAAGTATATTTTTAATAAATTTTATCCCATTCTTCCCTCAACCCCCCTCCTCTCCCTATGTACAAAAGTTTTGCTTCCATTTTTTCCTTCCATTTTCACTTTTTTCTTGTCCCTTCCTTTCTCTCATGTTCCCCTTCCCATTTGAACATTTTCTTCCCATTTCCCCATATCTATTACACATTTTAGTCCTTATTTTGTACTGGGGATGGAACCTAGGACCTTGCGCTTGCGGCAGCACCACTGAGCTAAATCCCTGGCCCTGAAAAATTCAGTATTTAAACATGTGTATCTGATTTATTTCACTTAAGAGTATGGTCTCGGGCCAGGGATTTAGCACAGTGGTGCTGCTGCCTTCCTCACAAGCACAAGTTCCTGAGTTTGATCCCTGGTACAAAAAAAATGCAGGTCATCCTGCTTTTTGGCCAAGTACTACTCCATTGTATATTAAAAAGAAAAACAAAACACATCAGGGCTGAGGATTTAGCTCAGTGGCTCTGCGCCTGTCTGGCAAGCACAAAGTCCTAAATTTGATTTTGATTACCTGTACACACACACACACACACACACACACAATCTTTATTCATCGGTTGATGGACATTTGGGCTGTTTCCAAGATTTAGCTATTACAAACTGCTGCTATAAACATGGGTGTGCATATATCTGTGGTAGGATGCTTTTAATCCTTTCAGGTAAGATACCAAGAAGAGGAATAGCTAGGTCAAATGGAACCTCTAGTTTTAGTTTTTGAGAAATCTCCACACTGATTTCCACAGTGGTTGCACTAGTCTGCACTCCCACCAATAGGAGAAGGGTTTCTTTTTCCCCACAGTCCTGCCAATATTTGTTATTGGCTGATTTTTTTCTCCCCCTTCACAGGTTTAATCTACACAGAGGAGAGGGGCTTAGTCTTTCTTGGCAGCTGCTTTCCTCATGGTAGCCAGCATGTTGCTCAGCTCCTGGCACTCCCTCTTGGTGTGGATGTGTGTCCCCACCCTTGTCTTGATGAACCTGAGGGGCATTTTGTCCTTGGAGACCTTGAGCAGCCCCATGGCATTCCATTCATAGGGGGTGAAACCGCACACCTTTGGGTCATGTCCCACACAAACTTGGTGTGCTTGGTGAGGCTCCTGCAACAGCGGCTATGCCTTGCTTTGCTCACATTCTTGGTCACCTGGTGACTCTTATTGAGGCCCACAGCCATGGGGTAGCATAGCGCTATGGCTGCTGTTCTTCAATGGCTGCTAGAGTGGAAGCTGTTATTGGTTGATTTCTTGATAGCAGTCATTTTTTTTCTGGAGTGAGATGGAATCTGTGTTGTTTTAATTTGCATTCACAAATGACCAGTGATGTTGAACATTCTTTTCATATATTTATTTGCTGTTTCTAATTCTTCATCTGAAAAGTGTTTCATTTTAGATGCTCATTTTTGGACATCTTTAAATTGGGCTCTTTAAATTTTGGGTCTCTTTTTTATTCTAGATAATAGTCCTTTATCTGATGAATAGCTGGTACAAATTTTTTTGTTGATTGTCTCTTCACTCTATTGGTGGTTTCTCTTGCTGTGAAAAAGCTTCTTAATAAGATGAGGTCCCAGCTGTTCTTTGTAGTGTTTCCCATGCAGTCTGGGTTTTCATGTAGTTTTTGCCTATTCCTATGTCCTCAAGCATTCTACCTCTCTTCCAACAGATTTAGTGTTTCTGTTTTAATATTTAGATCTTTGAACCATTTTGATTTTAGGTTAGTGTGTGGTAAAAGCATATGGGTCTACTTTCAGTCTTCAGCATGTGGAAAATCAGTTTTTCCAGCAGCATTTATTAAAGAGGCTTTATTCCAGTGAAGGTGTTTGGCTCTTTCATCAAAGATAAGGTGACTGAAAATGTCTGGAGTTGTTTCTGCATCTTCAAGTCTCCTCCATTGATCCTCAGGTATGTTGTTTTGCCGGTACCATGCTGTTTTTATCATAGTAGCTCTGTAGTACAATTTCAAGATGGGGATTGTAATACCCCTGCTTTACCTCTGTTCTCCAGAATTTCATTTGCTATTCTAGGTGTCTTCCGGTTCCAAATGAATTTTACGATTATTTTTTCTAATTCTGTAAGATATGCTGCTGGAATTTTGACTGTGATTGCATTAAATCTGTATAACAACCTTAGAAATATGGCCATTTTCACTATACTGGTTTTTCATATTCCAGAACAATGGATATCTTTCCATTTTCTCATGTCCTCTTCAATCTCCTTTTTCAGAATACTGTAGTTTCCCATGTAGAGCTCTTTTACTTCCTTTGTTAGATTGATTCCTAGGTATTTCTTTTCTTTTCTTTCTTTTTTTGGATGCTACTGTGAAAGGGATTGTTTTTCAAATAGAAAAAATATTTAAGGAATGGGACGTTCTCTTTAGTTACCAAAGAAAAATTTTTTAAAAAAAAATTTTATATATTTTCTTAAAAGCAACATGACTTATTGAAAAACCACTGACAGTGTCATAGGGTCTGGAGTTTACTTATGTCTTAGCTACATTTTCTTGTTGTTGAGAAAATACCTACCACCCAAAGTTAAAGGTTTATTTAGCTCGCAGTTTGTAGAAGTTTCAGTCCATAGTCAGCTGGCTCAAAGGCAGGGTGGCATGGCAGAGGGGCATCACAGAGGAAAACAGTTCCTGGCAGGCAGAAGGCAGGAAGGCAGCAAAAGAGCAAAGCAGCAAGCAACCAAGCAACAAGCAGAAACACCAGCTTTCTTTTTATCTCATATTATATCCAGGCTACTTGATCTTTGGGTGGGTACCACTAATACCCAGAGTGGACCTTTCCATTACCTTCGCTCAGAATTATGCAAGGCCAATCAGTGGACCAATTTAGCAATCACACACTTTTAATCCCAGCAGTACACACTTTAGGTCCAGCTATTTCTGAAAAAGCCCCACCTATGACTACATGAGGCTTTGAGGGTACATCTAGACACAAACCAATGACTTATATGGCTTCTTTATGTGGTAACTCCCAAAGCTTTATGATTCTGTTCCGTGACAGGGCATAGTAAGTAACATCTTTTCCTAGCTTTATAGGGTCACTGCTGTTGTTTTCTACTCTATTATAGTTGACAAAAAGTATTTGCAAAACATAAAGAAATATACTGGGGATTTAGCTCAGTTGTGCCACTTCCTGCCTCCAAGCACAAGGTCCTGAGTTTGATCCCCAGTACCACAAAAAAGAAAAAAAATTAAATGTTTTAAAAAAAATAAAGGAAATAAATTTTCTTTATATAAATATGACCTATATTTTGCAAAATTATTTTAGCCATTTAATATAAATGGCAGTTATTGTTTAAATTGGCTCTGTGGTTTAAATGGGAATGGCTTTTAATAAGATAGTACTATAAAACACACATATACCTGGAATGAGGCAATGAAGTGAGGCAGTTAAGACTGTTAACCAAACATTCACTTCTCTATCCAAAATGGTAGGAAAATCAAGCTGCTGTATCATTTGTCAGCTATATATGACACGGGGGAAAAAGCTACAGTATATCATTTTCTAATAATAGCATTGTAGCTTCTTGAATTTAGCTTTTCGAAGAGAAATAATTTGTGTTAAGGCTTTTCTGGGGAAGCAGTTTATGTAAGGGCACTAAGTTGCATGGTTTGATTTGGCTGTTTCTGAAGCTAGGCACACCCAAATATACTGACCTCTTGTTTATTTTACATTTGAAAGATCCACCAATACAATTTTCAAGCATAATGCAGCCACGTGATTACTTGTCAATTGTGATAATGGGGATGTAACCACAGAGAGCAAATCCGTGAGAGAAAAAAAAACCTCTGGCTAGTCTTCTTTGACTAGGGAGATGCCAAATGAGTCACAGTATAGATGGGTAAGGTAGTCTTGGAGAACAGTACTGCTTGAGAGACGCTGGCTAAAGGGAGTTTCCTTGAGCTGCACATCAGTCAGATCAAACCACGGGAAAGGCCTGGAGTAGAAAAGAAATTTTTTTTTATCCATTCAGTGCATCTTCTTCAAATTCAGGACCTTGTGCTTGCCAGCCCCAGTCCATTCAGTACATCTTCCTTGGCTGTTAAACACATGACTGAGGAAAGACTCTCTGAATTTGAAAATATCCAAACCTGAAAAGGAAAGCAAAGCAAAACAAAACAAAGACTGAAAAATACAAAACACAATACCCAAGGACTGTGAAACAGCCAAAAAGTGCAACATACACATAATAATAACCCTAGAAGGAGAAGAAAGAGAAAAAGGAACAATATTTGAAACAATAATGACTGAGCATTTCCCCAAATCAATGTCAGACACCAAACCAGAGATCCAGGAAGCAAGCTGAGAATATCAATCAGGATAAATGCTAACAAAAGCAACAGCAAAAACCTGTATCTAGGCATTTTAAAACTATAGAAAATCAAAGATAAGAATCCTGAAAAAAAAAAAGGAAAACACACTGTACATATATGGGGAAGAAAGATATGAATTAAAAACTGACTTCTCTTTAGAGCCATGCAAGTAAGAAGAGAGTAGAAATTATCCTTCAAAAGTGAAGAAGAAATAAATACTTTTTTAAAAAATCAAAGAAATTTGTTGCCAGTTCTTTAAACCAAAGGGAAATGATATTGGTCAAAAACTTGGAGGGCCTGGGATTTATTAGCTCAGTGGTTCTTCCTGCTGCCTGCCTTGCAAGTGCAAGGTCCCGAGTTTGATCCCTGGTACAAACAAAAACAACTTGGATCTACATAAAGAAAGGAAGAGCACTGAAGGAACAAATGAAGGTAAAATAAAACTTACATTTTCCTTATTCTTAATTTATCTAACATGTAACAGTTTATTCAAAATAATAGCAACAGTGTATTGTATATTGGCACATGTATGAGTGAAATGAATGACAGCAATGGTATAATTAATAGGAGGAGAAGGCTGGGGATTTAGCTCAGTGGTGCCACTGTGCTAGGGATTGAACACATTGTCCTGAGTTCCATCCCCAATACCCACCCCCCTAAAAAAGGAAGAGGAAACAGGACTATCTTATACAAAAGTCAAATATCTTTTCTGATAACCAATGTCTTGGTCTATTTTCTGTTGCTGTCACTGAATACTTGGTAATTTATCCAGGCTTAGTATTCAAATGTATTTAGTTCATAGTTCTGGAAGCTGGGAATTGCAAGAGCTGGATTATAATGTGGTGGAGGACATCATATGGCAAAACAGAGCAACCACGTCACCTCAGGTCTCTCTTCCTCTTCTTATGGAGAATGCAGTCACGGGCACTTGCCCTCATGACCTCATCTAACCTGAAACATCTTCCAGAGGCTCTGCTTCCAAGTTCATTGACATATGGCTTTGGGTATTAAACTTCAACCTGGCTTTTGGAAGGAGCAAATATCCAGACCACAGCAAACAGCAATGAATAAGTATAATTTGAAATTAAAAACACAGTCTCATTTACATTGGTACTCCCCCCAAAAATACTTGAATATAAATCTTACAAAATATTGTACAAAATCTATACAAAGACAAGCTGTAATGAAAGAAATCCACCACAAAACAAATGTAGAGAAATTTCGTGTTCATGGATAGGAAGACAATAGTTTCAAATGTCAGCTCTTCCCAATTTGATTTTCAGAGTCAATGCAATCTCAATCAAAGTCCCAACAAGCTATTTTGTAAGTATTAAATTAATTCTAAAGTTTATATGGACGGGTAAAGATTCAACAATAGCCAGCTCACTATAGTATTGAAAGAGAACAAAGTCAGAAGATTGATATACCCTCTTTAAGACATAAAATATTAAAGCCACAGTAATGGGGCATAGCGGCACATGCCTGTAATCCCAGCACTCAGGAGGCTGAGGCAGGAGGATCACTACAAGTTTATGTCCAACCTCGACTACATAGTGAGTTCAAGGCCAGCATGAACTATGCAGCGATACCTTGTCTCAAAAAAAAGCTGGGTCCTTAGCTCAGTGGTGCTGCTGCCTGCCTCAGAAGTGTGAGATCCCGAGTTCAATCTCCAGCACCAAAAAAAAAGAGAGAAAGAAATAGATCAATGGACTAGAAAGATGCCAGAAATAGACCCCAAGTAAATATAATTAACTGCACTTTGACAAGGAAACAAAAGCAATACAATGAAGAAAACAGTGTTTTCAAGAAATAATAATAAACCTGGACATACACGTGAAAAAAATAATATAGACACATACCTTATACCCTTCATAAAAATTAACTCAAAATGTATCACTAATTTAAGCCAGTATGGCAACACAATCCCAGCGTGAGGGAGGCTGAAGCAAGAGGATTGTCATGAATTTGAGACTAGCCTGAGCTGTATCCTAAGTTCAAGGCCAGCCTGAACTACATAACAAGACACTGTTCTCAAAACCTAAAAAAACTAAAACAAGCAAAAAAGAAAAACCCACAAATTTAAATGCAAAATGTGTAATTATAAAAGTCCCAGAAAATAATAGGAAAAATATCTAGAGGACTCCCCAAAGGGGAGTTGATAGTGACTTTTTAACTGTAATGTGAAAAGCATGATCCATAGAAGATAGAATTGATAAATGGACTTAATTAAAATTAAAAACTTCTGCTCCATGAAAATAATGTCAAGAATTAAAACACAAGCCAGAAAATACTTGCAAAGGATACATCTTTGTTATCCAAAATATACAAAGAACTCTTAAAACTGAACAATATAAAAATGAAGAACTCGAATTAAAAATAAATAAAAGATATTGGTACCTCACCAAAAAAGATGTGCATGTGGCAAATAAACATATTAAAAGATCTTCAACATTAGGCAGTCTCAAATTAAAACAGCAATGAGACAACCATCCACTCCTATTAGAAGTGCCCGAGTCCAAACACTGACAACAATAAATACTGGCAATAGTAGCTCATAAATAAAGCTTAAATAAATATGAAAGAATCAGAATTATCCCAAGCATATAATCAGATCATAGTGCAATAAAACTAGAAATCAAGGCAAAAGAGACCAAAGAAACTATGCAAATACATGAAGATTAATCAATATACTTTTGAATAATCCGTAGATCACAAAAGAAATCAGTTCTTGGAATCAGATGATAATGCTAGTACAATAAACCAGAAACTACAGAATGCAATGAGAGCAGTCTTAAGAGGAGAGTTTATAGCCATGAAAACCCACACCAGAAAAACAAAGTGAGCTCAAATAAATAACATAGTTATATACACCTCAAGGTCTTAGAAAAGCAAGAATAATCCAATTACTCTAGAAAGAATGACTGTCCTCAAGAAATAATAGCAAGTAGTAACAAATAATGAGTCTGAGAGAAAAGGAAACCTTCTACATTGTTGGTGGGTCTATAAATTAGTGGTGGATATAAGGATGAAGATTCCTCAAAAAATGAAATTGGAAATTCCATTTGATCGAGCTGTTTCCCTTCTATGTATCTTCCTGAAAAAGTTAAAGACATCATGGACCAGGATATAGCTCAGTGGTGCTGCACCTGCCTGCCAAGAGCAAGGTCCTGAGTTCAACCTCTGGTACCCATGGCCCAAAATTACAATGATAATGCATACTCATCTTTATAGCCATAGAACTCATAATAGCTAAATCTTGGAAATGGCCTATATATCCATCAACAGATGATAAATTGATACAAAAAATGTGATATTTACACAGTGGAGTACTACTTTGCCATAAAAAGGTCATTTGTGAAAAAAATGAATACACCTTGAGAACATAGAATTACATAAAATAAATCAGATACAGAAGTTTAAATAATCAAATGGTTTCTCTTTTATGAAAAGAACCATAAACAAAGAGCAAAATAAAAAATAAATAATAGGAAACAAGGAGCTAGATCTTTTGCAAATAGGAATGGAGCCAGAGGGAGGCAGGGGAGGTGAAAGGGATGCAAAAAGAAGATGTATTATGTATATATACACCAATTCCCCCAATATGAATGTAATCATTATGTACTGCAAACCTGTACTAATAAAAATAATTTTTAAATGCACATTCTGATTCCATCGGCCTAGGGTGCCAGATTCTGTATTTCTGAATAAACTTCCAGATAATGCCTATGGATACCAGTATTTTGAGAAGCAAGGCTGTAACAGATTGGACTCACAGAAGGACTTTGTACCTCCTAAAAATGTAGTCATTATCTCAAAGGCAAATAGCATATACCTGAAGGGGTTAGATAAAAATTTTCTCAGCTGTTGTTTCTATTATGAAAATGCGATTGAAACTAAATGAGCCATAAATATTCAAGAAGAAAAAGAACCACAAAATAAACCAAAAAAATGAAGGAGCTAATTAGTAAAGATAAAAACGGAAATTTTTGAATTAAAAAAGCCTTAATATAAACTATGTGCTTTCCTTTTTAAAAAATAATTGTTTTGACTTGTATCTAGATCTTTCCCCAAAACCTCATGTGGACATAGGTGGGGAGTTTCAAAGATGGCTGGATTAGGTAAATTATGCTGATATTAAGGGTGCACTACTTTGGGTGTAGGTGGCATTCCCCCCAGAGGCAGGTAACCTGGATGGAATATAAAGGGAGAGAAAGAAGCTGTCATTTCTTGCCACTTGCTGACTTCTGCCTGCCTGGCCATACCGTGAACTGTTTTTCCTCTGTGATGCTCCTGGGCGATGAGACCCTGCCTTGGAGCCAGCCAGCTATGGACTGAAACCTCTACAAACTGAGCTACAATAACTGAGCTCCTTTAACTTTGGCTGTCAGGTATTTTGTCTCAGCAATTAGAAAAGTAACTAAGACAATGTTTTTTAGAGTCATGAGCCAAACAAAGTCAACACATGCCTTTTGTCTAAAATGAATTTTAAGGCTTTTTTAGTCCACTCATTTTTTTTAGTTCACTCTTCCTTTTTTTTTTTTCTTTGCAGCTTATTTGTTGAAGAAATTTGGTTGCTTATCCTATAAAGCTACCTGTATTGTTTTTTTAAAATTACATGCTATATAATTTTTCATACTTTCCTTCACTTGATTTCTCTTTGAAAAGGTTATTAGATGTAGACATTAGCTCAGGTCTGATTTTTTTAATGACAAGAATATCTACTTTTATTCAGAAATACTTTTTCATTGACTAGAGGATTTAGCCTGATCTATTCATTATAAAGTACTCCCAGCAATTTTTACCCATCACTCCTTCATTTAAGGAGCTTTTAAATTGGTAAGTAGTAGCAGAAGCCAAAAGTAAACATATTAGTTAATGATTTAATATTAAAAACATAGCTTATTAGGGCCAGGGATTTGGCTCAGTGGTTCCGCTGCCTGTCTCACAAGTGCAAGGTCCTGAGTCCGATCCCCAGTACCAAAAACAAAAAACAACAACAAAAATAGCTTATTCCAAGAGGAACACAAGTTTGAGCCCAGCCTGGATAACTTAGGGACTTACAGACTTAGTGACTTAGGGACTTTCTATTTAAAAAGAAAAAGCTTTGAAATTCTAAATATGACAGTAAACATGAAAATATGATAGTAAAAGCAAAATAGTTGAAGAAATTTCTCAGAAAGCAGAGAAAAAAAGACAGATACTAAAAACAGGAAAGACAAATCAGAAGACCTAGCCAAGAAGTCCAATCTTTAATGAATAAAAATACTAGAAAGAGAAACAGGGAAAATGAGGAAGGGAGGAAATTATCACAAGTATGACTGAAGAAAATGGGAGTATTTTTTTTTTCTGTTTTTAGTTTTTATTTGTTTGTTGTGATGCTGGGGATTGAATCCAGGGCCTCATGCATTCTAGATAAACTCTCTTCCACTGGGCTATTCCCCAGCCCCAAAACTAGAGAATTTAAGTTGCAAAATCCCAGTGCATATGCTGTTTCTTTTATGGGTGGCAGTGATGTGAGTATTTGCTTTACTTCATTAAATGGTATATTTTTGAATTTATGGAGTCAATTTTTCTATGCTACATTTCACAATATTTTTATGGTTAAGAGAACAATAAAAGGCCCACCAAGTGCACAGCAGTTAATTACAACATCATAAAATTTCAAGATACTGAGGTTGAAAGATCCCACAAAGCTGGGCATGGTGACACATGCCTATGATCCTAGCTATTTGATTGAAAATACTTCTTTTTTTTTTTTTTTTGGTACCGGGGATTGAACTCTGGTCCTTGCGCTTGCAAGGCAGGCCACCAAACTGCTGAGCTAAATCCCCGGCCAATCCTAGCTATTTGGGAGGATGAGGTAGGAGGATTGCAAGTTTGAGGGCAGCCTACAAAACTTGGTGAGACCTTGTCCAAAAAATTTTAAAGGGCTGGAGATGTATATCAAAGACCAGTTATCGTGAGCCCAGCTGTAGGTATTGATGTCCTACAAGACAGTACAATGAGAGAGACAGAGAGAGAGAGAGAGAGAGGAAGAGGGAGGGAGGGAGGGAGAGAAGGAGGAAGAAGAAGAAGAGGAAGAAGAGGAGGAAGAGGAAAGGGAGGAAGAGAGGGAAACAAAAGACACAGAAACTGAAACAGAGAGCAGAGAGCAGGCTGATCTCAGCTGTTCTGGGCAGCAAAGACAAAAGGCACCAAAGACATCCAATATTTATTCATAATAAGCGTGGGAAGAAGGGGAGGAGGGTCTGCTTTGGAACACCTGGTGATAGTGGATATCGCAGGCAGGACTGTAAAAGGGAGGCAGTATATCTTGCTGAAGAGAAAAGATGGGTGATTCAAAGGGAAAGAATTTAGTTGGAGTCAGGATGACCTTGGCTGGAAATTAACTCAGCAGGGCTCTGCTACTTCACGGACTAGGAGTTAAGTCTTGGTAACAGCCATTAGCAAAGGAGCTATACTTGCCCAACTCTGCTATCTGAAATGCCCATTTGAGTCACGTAAAGCTTTAGTTGAACCCCTAATACAGCCAAGTTATGGAAAGGCAAGAGACCTGTGCCACTTTAACCCTGCCAATACTGTGCAGAGATGTCTGCTACAGATGGAGCTCAGTGGCACAGCACTTGCATGATTCAATCAATCCCCAGTATGGGGGAAGAGGAAAGAAACAGGTTTCAGGAAAAAGATCAAGAATTACTACTATAATTCTCAACAGAAACTCTGGAAGCTAAAAGACAATGGAGCAGTATCTCAAAATTCTTTTGGAAAATTATTTCCAATCTAGGCTTCTATACTTGGCTATAGTCTTCATAGATTATTAGGAATAAAAACATGCTCACATATAACAAGTCTTTAAAAATTACTTCCAATACTTTTCTCAGGAAGCTACTGTAGGACATGTTCCATCAAAACAAAAAATAAACTATCACAGAAGAAGAATGGTCCAGGAAACAAAATAATAGAGAAGTGAGGGGAATCCTCAGAAAAAGAAAGAAGAAAACTCCTCAAACAAAAACTATATCATAGGACTAGAAATTAAACTGTCCATTTGTGACTGAAATTAAAAAAAAAAAAAGATGAGAGAAGAATCAAGGACTATTTCCAGGGTGCTGGCCTGAACTTGGTGGATTATCATGTAACTAGATAAGAAACAGCGTAGAAGCATCAGCTTCAGTACAGACCTCCTGTTGCATACCAAAATCAGGTGTGTTTTGGGACATGCTAAATTGCAGAGGAGACAGTAAGCATGTGCTTATCCAGGCACAGCAATGACATAGAGTTGTGTGCTATCAGAGTAAAGATGGCAACCTATGTTCACAAAGTAGAAAAGATTACCCAAGAACAAGTGTAGAATAAAAAGAAAATAGGGCCTAGGGTAGAGCCCCACAGACCCCCAGATTTGAAATGCAATAGAAGAAGAACTAGCACAAAAGAAGAGCCAGAGAAACAGGAAGAAAATGAGGGGATATTTATATCCCCTCATTTTTATCATGAAGGCTAAGAGAAGAGATTGCTTCAAAAAGGGTAGCACATTCAATAGTCAGGGGAGAAAAGGAGTTAAGTGTCCTGCAGGGCTGGGGATTTAGTTTGTGGTTCTGCCACCTGCCTCACAAGCACAAGGACCCGAGTTCGATCCTCAGTATCCCCCCCAAAAAAGTATCTTGCAAATCTATGACACGGAAGTCACTAGTAACAAGAGCAATAGTTTTTACATATTAGATTCTCAAATATGAAAAGGGCTAATTTTATAGTTATCAAGGCATAGAGAAAAGGCACTCTCATGGTTGGGAAAACGTTTTGAGGAGCATACAATATATATCAAACAAATTTTATATATATGAATGATCTCTAACCCAGAAATTCGTCCACATATTTAATAAAAAATATGCAAAGCAGCCTTCTGTGCAAAATTTGGGGTAGGGAAAAGGAACTACATCTTTATCAAGTGGAAATAGGGGGAATAAGTTTAATTAAGTAAATGTAACAGTGGAAGCTATGCAACTGCTCATCAATGAAGTAGATATGATTACACTAACATAGAATGGTATCTGTGTTCTGGGAAGCGAAAAATTAATATAGGTAGTTCTCCGGTTTCTAGCACCATACATAGGAGTAGATATGTACATATGTGTATTATAATGACAATAAAAATATATGTTTGTAATGCATTGACAGAAAAGACAGAAAAACTTTTAGAAGTAAAATCTATGAAATGGGATTTGGGAGGCAAAGGAGACTTTCACTTTCCCAGTGGTTGATTTTTTTCTAAAAATGTATTATTCTATCAATTTTTTGTTTCTTGTTTTGGGTTATTTTATTTATTTATTTTTGGTATTGGGGATTGAACTCAGGACCTTGTGCTTGTGAGGCAGGCTCGGCCTCAGTGAGCTAAATCTCTGGCCCTATTTTATCAGTTTTAAAAGAGAATACGAAAGGATAAAACAAAAAAGCATCCGCCAAGACCAGAGTATGGGAGAAATCTGAATGGCCAGCTGTGAGACATCTTACCTTTTCTGAAATATGTTCTTTACATAGACTGTGTTGACAAAATCTATTAACTGAAATTTGGGGCAAGATGCTTCATCTGTTTTACAGTCTTTGTGGTGCATAGAGAGAAACACTTTATTCAGAAGCTGCAGCACTTGTGAATGGGCCATGTTGCTTGCTGTACCGATATTTAGGAGTGCGTAGAACACTCCCTCCAACCATTTGATATTAAGGGTTATTCCACCTACACATCAATAAAAAGATAACTAATAGTTAGCAGCAGGAAACACAGTTGCAGGGAACATAGAATAAACCCCAGCCTGTGACTAGAAGCCACCTTTCTGTCAATACAGGTTGCTAATATGGACCTCAAGGTAAGTAAACACTCTTCTCTCCTAGGCCAACAGCTCTCTTTGCCCTTTATAACACATTGTGTTTGACTATACCAAAGAAGTACAGATGCCACTAAAGTAGAGATTACTAACGGCAAAAGTTCCTCCAGAATGATCTTTGCCAATGAGAAAGAGGATCTGGGGCAAATGTAAAATTATAATGAGGAAAAGCCATTTATTTCATCCCTAGACATTGCATTTCCCTGTTTAAATTGGGTGTTTTCAGTTCTTCCTCAAGGGATCAAATCATTAGTCCTCTCAACTCTTCCTAATGAAGGCTGTTTCTATCACCACTGTTCCCAGACCAAATTTAAATGGCAGAAAATGTGTCTAACTTGTGCTCTACCCACCACCCCCAACACACAGCATAGGGATTTAACAATACAGCAACCCATTAAGGGGAATATAATTTTTAAAAGAATGCTATTAACTATTACCGGCAGGACTGTAAGGGCAGGTAGCCCGAAGAATCACGGGATCTTGGAGAGCAGCTGTGATTTCTTTATTGGCCCCCCAGATGTTGTCAGAATCCTCAGCACACTGATACTTAGGCCGCAAAATATTGGTGGTGTTCAGTAAGAGTTTCAACCTGGAAGCCACCAAGACAGGGAGTGGACTACTAGGCCTGGAATACATTTAACCCGCGCAAACAGATTCCTGCATAGCGCTGCTCAGAGGTAAAGCAGGTCTGGATCTGTGCTGAGGTCACCAATTAGATTGTTCATCCATCTTCCTAACAAATGCTCATCGAATGTTATAATGTGTCAAGCACTGTGACAGACACTACAACTACAAAAATAATATTGGACACATTTTCAGTAAATTTTCATGTTGTTAACTGGTAGTTTCTCTACTTGTTGGTACACAGAGGGATATTATTAAGCTCCACATAGTGGGGAGGTAATATAGTAAGTTCTATGTATTTGTATAGCAAGGAAAATAACCCATTCACAAGTACTATTTGGGGGAAATGTGGAAGACACAATTGGAAATGTGAGTTGGACCCTTCTGCAGACCAATCAGCCTCCTCCTCATCACTGTAATGACCAAACTCCAAGGGGCTGTGGTGGAGTTGGGAAGTAGAGGTCAAAGGTGAGGTGAGCATCAGTTCTGGTCTCATCTTAACAAGATACCTGGGGAGTGGGATGGCAGACACAAAGCTGTACACAATGCAGTTCTTCTTAAGGCTGTATTGAATGTCTAAGCAGATTGGAGGCAGCTGAGATGGCAAGCAGCAGAGGAATATCATGTTGGCCCAATCTACCAGATAAGAGTTGCGGTAGAAGCACTGGATCCCCAATTTCTGGAACTCAGCTGGGAAGGATAAGGAAAGACAGAAAGAGCACAGTATAAAGGCATTTTACCCAAACATCGGTCATGGGCAGATGATCATTATTTTATCTCAGTAAAGCTACCCAAGCATTATTGTTGCATAAACCAGAAGACATTCTTATCTGCCTTCGATAAAGTACGTAGCAATATCCTAACCCCATTACTAAAGCCGCTGGGGCCACTGCTTGGGATTATGATAATTCACCATTAGCTAACTATTAGACCAAATGCTAATTTAATTTTTAAGGAAGACAAAAACCTATGTGAAACCTTTTGATTCAATTTACTAAAGTCTTTTCATGTGCCAGATAATGTACTTTATTATATTATTTAAGGTAGAGACTAATAGTGTACCCATATCATAGATGAGAGAACTGAGGCTTCAGGAGGTCTGGCTTCAGGAAGCTATGTGACTTGCCCAAAGCAACATAGCTCACTGGCTTAAGTTGGTAAGACTAGGAGAGTGGAAGAGTAGAAAGTGGAGACTGGGCAAATTTGGAAAGATGTCCCAGTTTCTCTAAAGTATACACAACTTAATGATTTTTTGTGTGTTTGTTGTTTTTTGTTTTTCTGGTACTGGGGATCAAACTTGGGACCATGCACTTGCCAGGCAGGCAGCAGCACCACTGAGCTAAATCCCTGGCCCCAGCACAACTACGTGTTAATAGGATTTTTTTTTTTTGTAAATGTAGAGCAGCATGCTGGGTATGGTGGTGCACACCTAATATCCCAAAACTCTGAGAAGCTGAGGTAGGAGGGTTGCAAATTGAGACTAACCTGGGAAACTTAGTGACAAGGTCAATAGAAAAAAGAAGAAGAAAAAAAAAAGAATGGGCTGGGATGTAGCTCAGTGTGAAAGCCCTGGGTTTACTCCTTGGTACTGAAATAAATAAATAAATGTGATAACATGTATTTGCATAACAACACTCGCTGGTCACTGGTAGTTAATCATTTGTATTCACTGCAACATGAATTTTTGAAGAAATTTAAAATGTATATTTGGTAGCATATTTTAAGTATTAGTGAAAAATAGAATATGACAAACATTGGAGATGTGAGTTTTTTGCTTTTGTTTTTGTTTTTGATACCAAGGATCTAACTCATGACTTTGTACTTGCAAGGCAAGTGTGATGCCACTGAGCTAAATCTCCAGCCAGACATGCGAGTTCTTATTATAATGACCAAAAACAGATGAAAAAAGCGATGCTGAGGTTATCTGGATATTCATAAATCTGGAATATAGATAATACAAGATTAGGGCCGGGGATTTATCTCAGTGGTTCCAGCGCCTGCCTCACAAGCACAAGGACCCAGGTTTGATCCCCAGTACCAAAAAAAAAAAAAAATAGATAATATAAGATTAGAAAGCAGGCAAATCTGGGGGTGGGGGGTTGGTACACACTTGTAATCTCAGCACTAAGGGAGCCTGAGGCAGGAACATTAAAAATTTGAGCTTGTCCCAGCCTAGGTATTTAATGACTTAGCAAGACCCTGTCTCAAAGAAAAGAAGAAAAAAAAAAAAGAAAAGAGAAGAGAAGAGAAGAGAAGAGAAGAGAAGAGAAGAGAAGAGAAGAGAAGAGAAAAAAAAAGCAGTGTCAGGCATGGTGGTGCATGCCTGTAATTCGAGCACTTGGGAGGCTGAGACAGGAAGATCACTGGGAGTTAAAGTCCAGCCTGGACTATATACCAGGACCTTGTCTCAAAAGAAAAAAAAATCAAGATACAAACAACTACATTTGTATCAGTATAAATGACTGATATAATCAAAGAAAAAATGGGAAGAAACTGCTAACCCTGGTAAGATTATAAGTAGTTATTTTCTATAATATCCATGTGATTTTTGAATTATATTTTTTGTACTTTTAATTATTGAAGTATAATTTACATATAGTACCACACACAAATCTGAAGTATATAGTTTGAACAGTTTTGACAAATGAATATATTCATGTAACCCATACTTCTCTCAAGATATAAAACATTTCCATCTCCCTGGAAAATTCTTCAGGCCCTTTCTCAGTCCATCTCCTCAGAAGCAATCATTGCATTTATTTCTATAATGGCCTTTATTTATTTCTATCATACAGATTAGTGAATGGAATCATTATAAAACATGTTTTTAGATTTCAGTAGTTTTGAAAATATAGGGCCAAATGAAAATACCTGGAACTGTTTAATGTCCACTAGACTAACTCCTCCAGTTAAAAGATTTGAATTCTGGATGGAAAGCTTCCTATACACAGACCCAGAAAAATAATTGACCACCAAAGGCACAAGGAGGAGAGATGGATATAAAACATTTAAGTGGAGAAAAAAGTTGCTTTAAGCAACAAGTTTAAAAGCCTTCTTTCTTTTTTTCTCAGAACTAGCAAGCTCGGAACTGTGCATTCTGCACACAAATATTCCTTTTTCAAGGGCCCCTTTCAGAATGGCTTTGTCAACACATAACCAAAACAATCAAACCCCCTATGTAACACACTGTTCCTCACTCAAGGCCTCTGGCCTCCGAGTGGAGATGCGCAGGCTCTCAGCAGGGAGGGGGACAAGCGTCAGCAGTGCACACGTCAGCTGCTTCCCAAGATGGCCACCTCCAATGATGCCCACTTTTAACTTCTCATCGTCGTCAGTAGAGGCCAAATCAAGTGATCCAACTGAGAGTGATCTGGAACTTTGATTCTCATATATTACTTCTCTGAAGAATGAACAAACACATACATAAATACATGCTTACATTGTGGCTCTTCTTGTCAACCTCTAATATTCTCTGCATTCATTTTCTCAAATAGAAGCCTGGTGGCACCTTAAGTATCTCACAGATAGTATTTTAACTGTGTGTCATTTATCCAGTCTTTTAGGGGATGAAATGTTTCTCTTGAGTAAATTTTCTAAAAACTAAATCACACCCATTTTTCAAGGGATCAAAACTAGATTATAATACTTATTTTCAATTACAATACTTTTTTCGATTATAATACTTTTAAATGCACATCTTTTTTTTTTTTGCATGTACTATGTATGTTCCTGCTAGCTTAGACACAAGGCCCGAATATTTATCACATCACTGACTTAGGACCAGTGTAAAGAGTCACTGTTGCACACCATACTGTGTAACCGTTTCCTTTATTTTCTTGTGTTCTAGGCAGAGAGCTGTCAACATTTTTATCATCGTGGTAAAAAAAAGAGAGAGAGAGAAAAGCACCTAGCATAAAATTTATTACCTTAACCACTTTAAGTGTCCATTGTGTTAACTATGAACATATGGACAGGGATTTAGCTAAGTGGTTCTGCCACCTGCTTCGCAAGCGCAAGGAACTCAAGTTCAATCCCTGGTACCAAAAACAGAAAAAGAAAAAAAAAAAAAAAAAGAAAGAAAGAAACTATGATCACCATTGTGCATCAGATCTCTAGAATCTTTCATTCTGCAAAGCAGAACAACTCATTTCCTCTTCTCCCGATGGCAATTATCATTCTACTTTTTTTTTTATTTAGCTATTTTCGATACCTCTTTCAAGTAGAATCATGCAGTACTTTGTTTTTGCAACTGGCTTATTTCACTTAGCATAATATCTTCAAGCAACATCCATGTTGCAGTGTATGAGAGAATTTCCTTCTTTTAAAAGGTAAATAATATCCTACTGTGTTATTATATATTACATTATATTATATATACAATACAATTTCTTTATCTATTCATCGGGTTATTGGGAATGCTGTAATAAACATGAGTATGCAAATATCTCTTTGAGATCCTGTTTTCAGTTCTTTAGGATATACACCCAGAAACACAATTTCTGGAGCATATGGCAATAGTGTTTTTAATTTTTGAGGAACTTCCATACTGTTTTCCATAGTGACCATCCAGTCTTTTTTTTTTTTTTTTTTTTTTTTGGTGCCAGGGATCAAACTTAGGACCTTGCACTTGAGAGGCAGGCACAGCGCTACTGAGCTAAATCCCTGGCCCAGTAGCTACACAGTCTTACATTCTTACCAATTGTGTACAAGGATTCCCATTTCTCCACATTCTCACTCAAAACTTAACTTCTGGTTTTCTAACAGTGGTCACTCTAACAGCTGGAAGATGGTAGATATCTCATTGTGGTTTTAATTTGCATTTTCCTGATGATTAATAATGGTTTCATATACCTGTTGGCCGTTTCTGTGTATTCTTTGAGACTGTCTATTGAAGTACCATTTCAAAAGATGAGTTATTTGGTTTGCTGTTGTAGGGGTTCCCTATATTCACTGGATGTTAACTTATCGTATATGATGCATAAATATTTTCTCCAAATCCCTAGGTTCTCTCTATATTCTGTTGTTTCCTTTGCTGTGCAAGCTTTTAAATTTGACATAGTCCCATTTGTCTATTTTTGCTTCTGTTGCATGTGCTTTTGGTGCATTTATGAATTCAAGCCAAACCCAGTCATGCAGTTTTCTCCCAGGAATTTTGCACTCTGGAGTCTTATATCTTTAGTGCATTTTAAGTTAACTTTTGTATGTGGTGCAATGTAAGAGCCCAGTTACATTCTTTTAGATATGCAAATCCAGTTTTTCTAAAACCATTTGTTGAGGAGACTATCCCTTTCTTTGTTGTGTAGCCATGGCACCCTGTTGAAGATCATTTGACTATTTATGTGAAGATTTATTTCTGGGCTCTATTTTTATTCTGGTGGTCAATGGTGGCATCTTTTTTTTTGTTTTGTTTTGGTATTGGGGATTGAACTCGGGCCCTTGCCCTTGTGAGGCAGGTGGCAGAACCACTGAGCCAAATCCCCGGCTTTGTGGACATCTGTATGAAAGTTCCAAGCTGTATTGATCCATTTATTTTGGTAATACACTTTGAAATAAATGGCTTCCAGCTTTGTTTTGCTTTCTCAAGATTGTTTTAGCTATTCTTTGAGGTTCCACATGAATTTTTGATGGTTTTTCTATTTTGACAAAAAAAGCCGTTTGGGATTCTGATACGATCACATTGAGTCTGTAGATTACTTTGGGTAATGTGAACATTTTAACACTATTAAATCTGTCAATCCATGAACACAAGAAATCTTTTCAGTTATTTGTGCCTTCTCAATCTCCTTCACCAGTGTTCTGTAGTTTTCAGTGTATAAGTATTTCATACCCTTGGTTAAGTTTATTACTAAGTAGTTTATTCTATTTGATGATGATGCTATAAATTGGGTTATTTTCTTCTCTCTGTGTCTGTGACTGTTTTTCTTTCTCCTGGAGTCTGAACCTCAAGCATGCTAAGCATATATCTACCACTTGAACTATACTCACAGTTGAGACTATTTTCTTAACTTTCTCTTCAGACTATTCATTATTAGAGTATAGAAATGCAATGGATGCTTGAATGCTGTTTACATATCCTATCCTACAACCTTTATGAATGTGTTTACTGGTTCTAACAATTTTTGTGGGGTCTTTAGAGTTTCTCCAGATAAAATCATCCCATTGTGAATAGATCATTTTAATTTTATTTCCCAATTTGGATGTCTTTTAGTTATTATTCTTGCCTAATTTCTCTGGCTATGGCTTCCAGTACTTTGTTGAATGAAAGTGGTGAAAGTGGGAATCTTTGCCTTGTTTATGATCTTAGATGAAAAGCTTTCAGATTTTCATCACTGAATGTGATGTTTTTTTTTTTCATATATGGCCTTTATTATGTTAAGGTAATTACTCTCTAATTAGGTAATTACTATTAAGGTAATTACTCACTAATCTCAAGTTTGCGGAGTGTTTTTATAATGAAAGGGTATTGAAATCTGTCTTGTAGATAGTAATAGTAAGTAATGGGCTTAATAGTAAGCCCATTTGTTTGAAATTTGGCTCAACTCTTCTTTATTGAATTATTATTATTATTATTATTATTATTGTTATTCCACTTGATCTATTTATGGCAGTGGGGTCTTGAGGTACCCACTAGAAGTGTGTTGATATTTGTCTGATCTTTTGTGTCCAGTTGTGCTTGTTTTATAAAGATGGGTGTGGTGATGTTTGATGCATATGTTTATAGTTGTTATTCCTTCTTGTTGAATTGTACCCTTAACCAATATGTACTGACCTTCTTTGACTCTTCTGATTAGTTTTGGCTTTAAGTCTACTTTGCCTGAAAATAAGATAGCTAGTACTGCTTGTTTGGGGGTTCTCACTTCACAGGATACTGTTTTCCATCCTTTGATTTTTTTTCATTTTCTTTTATTTTTAATTAATTTTATTGCTACATTTTAGATATACATAATAATCATATTCATCACAGGGACTTTATTTTTGTTTTGTTTTTGTTTCTTGGTACTGGGGATCGAACTCAGGACCTTGTACTTGCGAGGCAGGTTGCAGAAGTCACAGAGACTTTGTATCCATATGTAATAGATTTTGATTTTTCCCCAATCCCCTCCCCTCCTTATTTATAAAAGCTTTGTTTCCATTTTTTTTTCTTCTCTTCTTTTTTCCTTTTGCTCCATCCCCTCCCTTGTTCCCCTTCCCATTTTAACATTATCTTCCTATTTCACAATATTTATTATACATTTTGGGCCTTATTTACCTTTCCAACATCTCACACCAGAGAAACAATGCAATAGTTAAGCATGTGTGTCCAATTTATTTCACTACAGAGTATGGGCTCAAGGTGCATCCGTCTAACTAGAAACATCTCAAGTTTATCCTTCTTTACGCAGAGCAGTGCTCCATTATATTTTTAAACACAAACTACATCTGTTTCCGAGATTTTTAGTCCATGAATTTATTTTGTATTAAATGTGTTCCTTGTACACAACATACTATTGGATTTTGGGGGGTTGGTACTGGGGACTGAACTCAGGTCCTTGGGTTTGCGAGGCAGGCAGCAGAACCACTGAGCTAAATTCTAAGCCCTTGGATTTTGTTTTTTTTGTCCAATCTACCAGTTTTTCTTTTGATTGGGGAACTGAGACCATTTAGAATTGTTACTGAAAGGCACTGACTTATTCTTGTCATTGCATGGTGGTCATGAGTTTCTTAGGTACTCTTTGTCGTGGAAAGTCCTTTTACTCTAACAATTTTTTTTTTTTTTTTTTTGACGGTACTGGGTATTGAACTCAGGACCTTGCTCTTTTTTGTAGTTGAAAATATTTTATTTTTAAAGATGTAAACTTCTGAATTAAACATAATATATAGTATATATCTAAGAAATTGTTTTGTTTTATAATACAGGTAGTTTGAAAAACTTTTGACAATGAAATATCTTTTTTTTTTTTTTTTTTTTTTTTGGTACCAGGGATCGAACTCGGGTCCTTGTGCTTGCAAGGCAGGCGGTGGAACCACTGGGCTAAATTGCTGGCCTGGCAGTGAAATATCTTTTAAAAATGTTTTATAAATTCTAAAATACTTTAGGGAAGTATGGGGAAGGATGAGGAGCTAAATTATAATTTCATGGTCTCTAGTGCTTTTGGTTCACTCCAGTAATGTAAAGAGGGGTTCATAAAATAAATCACATTTTATGAAATCAAAGTGAGGAAAAGAACACTTCAGCCTGGGATCACCCCATCCATGAAGACCATAAAAAATATCATGTAAAAAACAAGACAATATAATCATATTACACTAAGATCCTACACTTAGTACCCTTAGTAACAGAGATATGTAATATAAAACTAGCTCTTAGTATTTATTCAACACCTACCATTTGCTATGCATTATAATAGATGCTTCACAATC